GACTCGATGCCTGATTGCTTTTCACCTATTTTCTATTTTCCTCCTTCCCCTGCACAGAAGTGGTGGCAGGGACACTATCTGTGACTTGTTTTCTCTTCCACAGAAAACATCCGGGCAGCCCCGCCACGGCTCCCCAGACGCGTCTTCATGTGAGGTCTGAGGCCAACGTGCCTTGGGGTCCAAGAGACGTTCTACTCTAAATGACTTTCAGATGACTCTTCTTTTCAGCATCCGAAAGAGCCTCCTGGTCCAGAGTGGCCAGAACAGATGCCGCCTCAGAGCCCTGCAGGTCCAGGGACTGGTCTATAAGAGCGGGAGCTTGGCTTCGGGCAGCTCTTGGCTACCCACGAAGCCTACGCTGCCTTCACTGCTCCCCTGCTCTGCCCAGGCCGCACCCCTGCCCGGAAGGTTCCCCCAGACAGCGGCAGGGCCCACCTCCATCAGTTCCTTCTCAAATCTCAGGGGGCCTTCCAGGCCTGGACATTTAAAATGGAACGCCCTGCGGCTCCTGAACTCCCTACTCCCCATCTTCAATTTGCACCTGTCTTCAAACTCGCTATTTCTAACTTTATTTTCACTTCTGTCCTTTTCTGTTAAAAGGAAAGTGATCTGAGCACTCTCCGATCTCCCTTAGAAATACGTGTTGCATGAAAGAAAGACTCAGATGGCACGGCCACCACCCGGAACACAGGGCCCAGACTGGGCGTCCCAGGTCGGCGGCGGCTGCTGATCCCATGACGCAGCAGGGCACACCCAAGAGAAGCTGCGCGAGAGCGTTTCAGACCGTGGGAACTGTCAACGGGTTCAAAGGTTAACGTGTAAGACGTGCAGACAGCGGCAGAGCTCGAAGCGATTCAAAGACTCAGAAGAACCCAGACAATATTCCCTGCGATCACTTCTCCAAGAGCTGCAGGACCGCAGCCAGAGGCAGATGCTGGACCAAAAGGGGGGTGGCCAGGACAGAGCGGGTGGGAGGCAAGAAATGTCTCTTTTCCCCTTATCTGGAATATTGGAAAGTTTGTAAGTCAAAGGAAGAGAAGAGAGAGGAAACGAAGCAGGTAATGTATTCATTCGTTGGGAACTAACCTCACATTCAGGACAAAACCAGTCCCCCTCTGGTTCCGATGTCAGTCTCAGACACTTAGCGTGATAAACCCGGGGACAGAGCTCACAGCAAAGGACTTGGCCTTCCCGGTGACAAACCCAGCAGTAGAAATCATTCCGTCCATCCTGCGGTACAACATCAACAGGGTCTGTGGTGAGTGGCTGCTTCATATAGTAAAACGGACCATGTCTTAGTTCTGACTGAAATGTAGGCAAGAAAGACAGGTTTGGTTTCAAAACAAATGTGCATTCTCAACAGGAATTTGAACAAGTACATCAATAACAACACAAGAAAATCACAGCATTTCCCATCTGCTAAACGGTCGAGCTAGCTGCGGTTCCTCTACTGCTCACAACATGAGCAGGTCATGGGGTCACTATGAGGGTCTTTCCTCCCTCCCATTTTAAAAGGCCACAGACTGAACACTAGTGTCTCAGAGTCACCAGGCGGCCCTGGCCTATGTAGGTACAAATTTTAACTACCGCTAAACAGCCGCATGACCTTGGACGGGTCTCCCCACCTCTGGGCCTCAGTTTTCTCATCTGTAAAATGAAGGTGAGGTACCTACCATCACGGGATTGTGGGGCTGTGTTCAAATGAGAGGGTAGAATGGATGGAATTAACACGGTGCCACCATCACCAATGTCGTCCCCACGGTTAAGAGCCCAACGTACACAAGTTCACGTTTACAAAGCCAACAGAAGTGTGCGATCTGCCCTGGGAGTCTTCGTACTGTGGGCACTTAGAGAATTAGCAATTGGATTCGAGTGACCAAAAAATGATCTTCCATTTTTACGGCCATCCCCAAGGCACAAAGTCGTGAACCAACCAGAACCTTCCTCAAGTCACGTCTCTTGAACCCTTTAGGCCCCTGGAGTTGCCAGAGAGCCTCATCCTTCATTACAAACAACTCAGGAAGATGACTTGGTGGCAGGTCCAGGGACACCAGAAACACAGGAAAGCCATCCTCCAAACACATTAAATCACTCGGAAGAAACTCATTAGGAAAACAGCCAGCACCCTCCAATATGGAACCCTATTTAAATCTATGATCCAGTCCACGGGGAGCATCAAACAGCCCGGTCACTAGCGGTGTGATCGAGAAAGCTTGGCGCACAACTGTAACCCCAACTTGGGAGGCTGAGGCAGGAGGACAGCCTGGGCAACGTAGCAAGACCCTGTCTCAAAAAACTTGTTTTAAAAAGGGCTGGGGCCAGGTGTGGTGGCGCACACCTATAATCCCAGGAGCCTCAGGAGGCTGAGGCAGGAGGATCACAAGTTCAAAGCCAGGTCAGCTACCTAGCAAGGCCCTCAGGACTAGTGAGACCCTGCCTCAAAATAAAACATAAAAAGGGGGGTGGCGATACAGCTCAGTGGGTAGAGTATTTGCCTTGCATGCAAACATGGTTCAATCCCCAGCACCATAAATAAATAAAGCACAAGAAGGGATAGGGATGTGGCTCAGGGTTCAGCACCCCTGGGCCCCATCCCCACTATCAAAAAATAACAATGATAATAAAACAGGAAGAGTCCAGTGTGACTGCGAACCTCCCTTACTTGCAACCACGTCTACCGTCAAATACAAGCTGGATCTTTTTGGTCTTGTTTTTGTTTCCTTGGTGCTGGGGACAGCAGAAGGCAGGTGACTGATCCTTCAGCATGAAGTGTCTCTCACACCCTGTCACTCTCCCACCCCACTGTCCCGGGTGGCTGTCCCCAGAGGACGGGGGCAGCTGGGCTGGTCCAGTCTTCAGACTCCCTTCTCTCCTGGAGCAGCCCTGGGTGCCGAGAACCAGCTGCCTGATTAATCGCCTGTCAATCAGATCCTTTCCTTATCTGCTGCTTGTAAGTGTTACCTGCTCCATAAAAATAATCTGACAACATGGAGCACTTTTAAAAGGAAAAGCAAATCATTTCAGGCAAAATGAGTTATGATTTTCTCTTCCCCACAGGGAAGCAGCCAAGCAGGCAGGTTACAGCCTGTGACATCATGGGACAGTTACAGATCCTGAGAGCACATGTTCTTATTCTCTGCCCTTCCACAGGCTGGCCTGACAAGCAGAGTGGGAAAGACCCTTCCGCTGACTTCTGGAATCTCTTTGTGCACACCAAGAGCCGGCAAACACTTTCCACCAAGAGGTGAGCCTGGCAGGCCACTCGGTCTCTGCTGACAGTGCTCAGCTCTGGCCGTGCAGTGCAGCCACAGAGCTGTGTGCCAATAAAACTTTATAAAAACAGGCTCCTGGGCCACAGGCAGCAGTCGCCGACACCTCGTCTACACCCACCCGAGAACAGGTGCTCTGGACCTGGAACAGGTGCTCTGGACCTGCACTTGTGTGGTGGAGGGGAGGCCTCAAGCTCAAATGCCTGCAGAGGCCACTCGGGTGGCACAGAGGAGTGACAGCACCGTGCATCAGCTTTGTCCTGCATTTGC